GCGCCCGCACTCGGCCGCCTCCGCCCGAGCGGGGCGAGGAGGAGCCCCGCCGCTCCGGGGAGCCGGGCAGATCGCGCGCCCCCACCCCGGCCCGGCCCGGCCCCGACGGCTGCGAGCCGCCCGCGCGCGGCCCCTGCGCTTACCCGGGCGGGCCAGTGCGGGTAGCCCTTCATCTTGGCGAAGACCAGGTCGCCGCACTTGTACTCGCGCTGCCGGTTGGAGCGGGACATGGCGCGGGCGGGCGGCTGGGGCGCCCGGGCCTGGCTGAATGGCTGCCTGCCTGCCTGCCTGCCTGGCGCCGCCGCCGCTCCTCCTCCGCGAGCGAGCAGAGCGCGCCTCCCGCCGCTCTCTCGGGGCCGCCGAGCAGCGCTTCGGGCAGGCGCGCCAAGGGCTCTCCGGGGGCGCTTGTTTGTGTTTGAAAGGCGGCGGCGGCTCCTGCTGGGCCCTCCTCCCCGGCCGCTCGCTCGCTCGCTCGCGCCCGCCCTCCCTTTCCTTCCGTCTTCCTCCTCCTCCGACCTCGTTAGCTGCCGCTGCTGCCGCCGCCTGGGCAGGCCGCCACTGATGCAAACACCTTTCCCCACCCCCTGGCCGCGAGGCAGGCGGGCGGGCGGGCCGGCCGGGCGGCGGGGGCGGAGGCGCCCGGCGAGGCCGGCCAAGCGCGGGGGGCGACGGCGCACGCCGCCAGGTCGCCGAGGGGCCACGGAGGGAAGGCCCGCGCACGAGGGAGGGCCTGCCGGCCGCGCCACGCCACGCCACGCGGGCCCGGCCGGAGCCAGGCTTTCCGGGGCAGAGCTTCGGCGCCCGCGCGGGCCGCTGCGGCCGCCAGGAATGGGCGTTCCGGGGCGCGGGCCCCGGCGAGCGGGAAGGGCGCGCAGTGCCCGGGCTGCGCGGAGGCGGCGCGGCGGCCCTGGGAAGCGGGGATGCCGCCGATCCCCAGGGAGTCGCAGAGCGCGGCCCGCCAGGCACTTCACCGCCGCGGGGTGGGCGCCCGGGCGCGGGCTGCAGGTGGGCGCAGAGACTGGTCGGCCACGGTCACGGCCTGGGGGCTGGCGGCGGCCGCGGCGCAGGGTCCACGGTCCGAGGCGGTGGCGCGGTGGGCGCTGCGCAGACGGGCTGGCTAGAACCGGCCCGAGGATGCCGCGTCCGGTCCTCAGCATCAGGCCTTGCGCTTTCTTCTCCGCCTTCCCGTACGAAGGGCGCCCCAGGCGGCGCTATCGGGAGAACGCCTCCCCACTGAAAAGATTCCCCCACCAGTGTTTCAGCAGCAGCAGCCGTTTATTGCCTTTTAGCCATCGCTGTCGCCTATGTATGTTCCTCGGGGCGACTTTCAAAGTGCCCACCAAGCACAGCCTCTTAGCACCGCCCACCTCGCGGCCATTTTGCGGTCTGAGCCTGAAGCCGAGAACACGAAATGGCTGATGGGAGTTGTGACATTTCCTCCCTGGAGGTCGGAGGTGGTAGAGAAGGCGGGAGCCAAGCAAGACTCCGTTTCCCTGTAGCCATCGCGCGGCAGGTGCCGGCGGGCCAGCGGCGGGTTCCGGCGAGGTGACTTCAGGGAGTTGTAGTTTTGTGTTCCTGCATTTGCGCTGAGGAAGGCGGGAGGAGGAGGGATAAATTTCCTCTTCAGCTTCCACGGTGGCCGCCATTACCCGGATCTGAGTGCGGGATCGGGCGAGCGTGAGCGGCTTTGTCGGAAGCGTAGCGGCTGCTGCCCGTCCCGCTTGGCTCTCCGTGGCCTTCCACTGAGCGGGCGGCGGCGTTGCCATGACGACCGGTGGGGCCTAGCGCGCCTCACGCCCAGCGGACGCGGCCTAGCGCCGCGGGTACAGCCTCGGCCTTGCGTAGTCCCCGCCGCCGTCCGGCGCCATGTCCTTAGTGGCCTACGGCAGCAGCGAGGAGGAGGAGGCTGAGAGTGACGCAACCGAGGCGGAAGATGAGGAGGAAGACGAGCCGGACGAGGACGCCGGAGGGGAGCCGGACAGGCGCGGAGGTCTCTTCTCCGCCTTGCCGCCTCCCAAGGCCGGCCTTGGCTTAGCTCTGCAGCCACCGCCCCTGCAGGAGGGCTCCTCCCCGCCGCCGCCGCCGCCGCCTCCCGGCGAGGCGGCCCGGCTCGGGGCCCCCCCTCCGTCCCCGCTCCTGCCCCTTCCCCCTCCTGCGCAGAAGCAGCGCCCCGCCGTCTTCCCGGTCGCCGCCGGCGCCTCGCCCGAGCCCGGCCTCCTCGCCAAGCCCAAGAAGAGGACGCAGCCCGTCCGGATCGCCGCGCCCCAGCTGCGCTCGGGAGACGTGAGTGTCTGGGCGGGGGTGGCGCGCTCGCTGCCCGGGATCGGGACTGATGCGGGTCAGTCGCCGCGTGTTCAGGCAGACGAAAGTCACGCAACTCCCCGTCCCTGTCGCCAGCCGTGCTGGGACCTGGCAAGTTTCTCTCCCCAGATGCGCGCAGGGTAGGGCTGCACCCAGACGCGCCTGTCCTGCTTTTCTGCCAGAAATGGCCGAAAGGTAGCTGCTAAGGCTAACACTCAAAAGCCAGAAATGCAAATACTGTATCTGCTCTCCGTTAGACACTTGAAACTCTGCATCCAAAAAGGCAGCAGTGGAACCCAACCAGTTAGATCCCCTTTTGGCAGCAAAAAGTGTTTAAATGAGGGAGGAGGCGATCAGTGGCTACTAGTCCTGGCTGGCCTCGCGCTGCCGCCTTCCCCAGAGCTGGCAAGCCTGCCCACACCAGTTGCTGGCCAGCTCGGGCAGGAGGATGCCTGGCACCATCTTGCTTGATGGGTCCTGAGGACAGCTGATCTGCCACCGTGTGGGACTACATGGACCTTGGGTCTGGTCCAGCATGGCTTTTCCTGTGTCCTTATGTCATGCCAAAGGCCTGGCAGAATCGAACTGCCATTTCCTACATGTGATTTGCTTCTCCCCTGAAGCAGGGAGGGATGTGGGCTGGCCTGTATCAGCTGTAGGGAAAGCATGCAAAGATACCAACTATATAATAGAGGGTTGTGCCAGTCGGTGACTAATCAGCCACTGCTGCACTGTGAGCTGCTCTTGCACACAGAGAGCAGGGACGGGAAGGCAGCCTTGCAGCCGTACTGGTATCTTGAGGATGTGCCACTTGAGCATGTAGCCAGCAAACTTGGTGGGCATAGTTCACTCATATCCTCCTCCTCTCTGCCTATGGTGAGGTGCTAGTGCTTCACTTTACATAAAGGTGTGTTGGAAGATGGAGTGTCTGTGTGTGTG